GTCTTCCTGCAAAAAAAAAATTATCAACAGTGTCCATCTAGGCTTTCTACCAAAGGGCTTTTGGGGTTTTTTTGCTTGTTTGTTTTGCTGAAGAAATCCCATGCAAAATTACAAAAGCCTACGGTATGCTTCAGGTGCCTTTAGGAAAGTATTGAGAAGTAAGTAAAGAAAGGTATGCTGGGACTTTATTTTGGGAAGAGATGTAATCTTTGCTATGAAGGAAATACACACTTCTGGATCTCTGATGTTGCAACAATTAGTTTGCAAAAATTTTGCTTCTGCCACAGTCATTTTTGGCCTCATACACACTAAGACACACAGATTCCACAAACTAATACACCAGCTGACCAAGAATGTGCAAAACTATGGAAAGCAAAAAAAAAAAATCTTCCTCTGTTTTAGAAAAGATTTTTGTTGACATAGCACAAATGTTTTCATGTGATAACTTCCAAGACAAAGAGCCTGAAAAAAAATTAAAAAGAAAGCCAGAAGGAATTTCTCCCTCCCTTAGAGAAACACGGATGAGTTGTCTTATGTTGAGTGGGTCTGAAATTGTGTGAGGACACAGTGCCCTGGCACTGAAGCTTATCTCACAAAATGTCCAGCTGTTATTTGCCTGGTTTCATTTCATCTTAAAGCTAAGATGTAGAAAGTAAGACAGACATCAAGGCCTTAGGGTAGGAGGAAACCTTACTGTCTGTGATAAGAGAATCAGTCTCAGAAAAGCAAATCCTCCAAACTTCAATATAATTTGGTCTGGAGCTCGTGTAAGTCTAGTTTTGGTAGGGGGGTGTAGGAGAAATCCACACCAAAGTTTTGCAATTGATTCATTTCAAGTTTGTGCAGCATCTCTCACCAATGTTGCAAGACACTGAAACACCACTGTTTCATACAAAATCCCTTTAGAACAATCCACTGCCATCTCCCCTCTTCCTCAAAAATAATAAACAAGCTTTTTGTGTTGATGCAGCTTTGTGGAAATAAATACAATTAGGCCTCATGCTAAAATGAGCAGCATACTAATTGGAATTGCCGAATCAATTATTCCCCAGGAATTCAGGGCTATCAGCAGTCTGAGATCAGATACGGTAGCTTATACAGCTTTCACATATTTCTGATAAGAAATAAGCACAGCACAGCCACACTGAGGCTCTACTGTACACACAGAGATAGATTCCTCCCCTTCCTCACCTAATTCCTTTGTGTTAAGCTGATTTTGCTTCACGACCTGCAAATATTCTTATTTCTCCCTCACTGGCATTTTATGAATGCCTGTGGGCTGGATTAAAAAAAATGCGCAGAATAGCCCTCCACAGGTTAGAAATGACACCGAGCCTTTCTGAGGGAACAATATGTGTGAAAGCTTGTCAGTTCTTTGGCTGTAAACACAAGACCACTGAACCGACACACAGTGCTCCGAAGGCCATCTGAGTGGGTGAGCACTCAGTGCCGAATCCCACCTCCAGGGGAGCCCGGCAGGGCGACCCCGCGGCCCCAGCAGGAGCCGCGCTCCTCCCGCCCGGGTCTGCTTTTATCCCTGCCTGCTGACGTTAAGCGGGAGAGAACGTGAGCTAAAGGTTATCTCCTTGCACGAGTCCATCAGTTATGTACGGGATCAGTGGCTCTGACTCATTCCCAATCCAGGCATGCCCAGCCAGATCTCTGCTACCCATGAAATAACCTATTTTCTTGCAAGCGCAGATCCTCGCTCGCAGCAACATGAGCCAGCTTGCTGGAATTAATATTCCTGATATTAATTCCTTTTTCTACATCCTGTCATGTAACTGCTTTTCCCTACAAAAACACAGCTTTTCCCTACAACCCTTATTGTGAATCTCACCCTCAACCAGAAAGGAACATTTTAAGAATGATGCTGACACCTCCAGGGGCCTCATTCCAAGACTATCCCTAAGACTATCCAAGTAACACCTGATACATAGACAGCTGCTGAGGTGATACTGAGACATTTTTTACAACACCCAAACCAGAAAGAGTGCTGTTCCAGAATGGCTCAGACAGGTAAATACAAAACAGAGTCCAGGAAGGAGAGAGCTAGTAAAAAACCAAACAGATTTGTAGATGGGGAAAAAGAGAACATGCTTCTAACGTTACAAGACAGGACCAGTTTGCTTGCAAAGAAGAAAAGCGCTACAAGGAGTTGAAGTCAGGATGGTGTCACAAGCTACAAGAGCTATGGGCAGGTCATAGGGGAAAATGCAGCACTGAGGACAGAATGCAGTAAGGAGCTGCAAAGAGCCTCACTGGGGCTTAGGCTGTGCCAAGGAATCCTACAAGCAAAGGTTTGTTCAGGCATCTGGAGGGGAGAGACAAAAGACAGGTAAAAAAGTGGCTTCCAGAGTAGTATCCTAAATAGACTCAGCATTTGTATCATTTCACATTTAAGTCAGAAAAGATCAAGAAGCATTGCAGTACCTACACAGTGTCTAGTGTTATATTTCCAAAGCTGGTCACGTAGAGTTTCTATCCCAGAGCCTCAACCATCCATCTTAGCCACGGCCATTATATTCTACAGGCCAAGTTTTCAATAGACCAAGATTTCCTGATGTGTTTTTGCACAGTTGTAAGGAGGTATCCAGAACCAAGTCTGGCTGTCAGCTTTTCAGGAGCTTACGAAAATCTCAAGATAAAAATACTCCTGAGCTCCTGAAAGTGCTCAACACCTGGAACACTGGAAACCCTGACAGGTGAGAGAGTCCTGTTGCTGTAATGTAGAACATGAGCAATGTGGAGGATTAATGCACTTCAGGGGGGAAATGTGCCCTCACAGACACTGCCTGCAAATAAAAGGTGGGAATTAATCAGGACCAACCTGAGGCTGGGTTTGGGCCGTCTTTTCTTCTCAGTGTTGTTGTTAGGTGAGGTTTGTTGAAGTGTGATTAAATTAGAACAGCACAGATGTTTCCATTCCTTTGTCCTATTTTTCAGTAACGCTCATTTCTTTTCTTCCACTGCAGATTAAAATACTAAACTTCATGGCTCTGATATGACCTGTACTTCTCTGTATCTGTTGTCTCTCTGTATCTGTTCCCCTTCTCCTTTTAAAAAACCAAAAGCAAGACAGCTTCACTAGGGCCAGAAATTGCTCTTTCTCAAATGCACACTTCACACTCCCTGGAATACCAATGAAGCTTTCTTAGCAACTGAGTGTCTCTGTCAGCTTTGCAATCCTGTGTCCATAAACTATTAAATATGGGCTTGACCCAGCTTGCCAAACACAAAGGCAGCACATTTCAAAAATCAAAAGAACTGTATCTGGTGCTTCTATCAGCTGTCACACTGCCAAGCAACAACATCAGAGTACCTTATATTTTTCCACTTTAATAAAAACAAGTGAAAGGTAGCTTCCTCTTGCAACCACAGTTAAAATGTGTTCTTCAGAATCACTTTGAATTAAAACCTATCAGACAGTCCCATTTCTCCAGGGGGATGATAAAGGATGCAAAGAGCTTCCCAGCATAAGTAAAACTGAACCTTGCTCCCCAACAGCCACCTGTGCTCCTCTCTGAGGTTACAGAGTTTTAGGTGGGTTTGTACTTGGCTGTTATGGACAACATTTTTTTGGTACTGCAAATCTGTGACTGAAATCTCACCTCCCTCAGCTGGATCCATGCAGGCAGAGAGCCGAGGACAACAGGACAGACACAGCTCAGGGCTCAGACAAGGCACCCAGAGGGCAGTGGTGCTGAACTCAGATGGGTGTTGAGGGACGTGGCTGTCTCCAGCTCTCATCTCTGTGGCACTCACCTATCAGGCAGGAAAGAGAGTTTTGGGTTTGTTTTGGTTTTTTTCCTGGTTGTGCTTGGGACTTTTTGATGTGGTTTGGTTATTGTTTTTTTCTGTTGATGATATCAAGCCCCTCAAAATTTTAACAGGGGGTTGAGTCAAAGTTCGCAATTTTTTTTCAGTTGTTAACCAGTAGCTGTAGGTGGACAGTTATGATTAATAATTGCATTGTGAGCATCGTATGCTTGGCTAATCTGTTGTTTTAAGGGAAAGAGAACACAATCCCAAGAGGAATGGGCTGTCTGGATGAGAGCCACCAGGAGTAAAGTCAGCACTGAGCAGTAACTGTGGGAAAGGTAGTTCCAGCAGTGGGAAGTCATGACCACCGACTCATTGATCACCTACCCAGAATAGACCCCAGACTCAACTAGAAGCAAGAACTGTGCCTGGGGACTAATTAGCATGAGAAGTGAGAGATATAACTTGGGCATTGAGTACTAATTAAGAGAAAAGTTTTGTAATTTGTAACCAATGAATGCTGATGCCTTTCTTAAAATGTATGAATAGTGTGAAATTTTGACAATAGGTGAGTTAGCCTTTCATGGGTTACCACCCATGTCCCCACTTGGAGCAAACTAGAATAGAAAACAGCAATACTTCTCCTCAGTGTGTGAACTGGTGCTGGCCCTGGGTAACAAGCCCGTGTTTGGGACAACATTGGTAGCAAGTTTCAATCACGTACTTCTTCATTTAGCCCCTGCCAAGCTCAATTCTTGGCCACAGTGGCCCAGCCCAGAGCGTCCCTCCAGCAGCTCCAGCCCTGCAGCTGCACAGGGAGGTTTCTGACAGGAGACCTGAAGGGTTTGGCCCGTGCCTGCCAGAAACCCTCATTTCACACCCCTACTGGAAGTCCTTTTTTGGTCCTTCCAGGTCTTCTCTGTCATCTTTACCTCAGTTCTTGAGCAGGCACAGCATCATTCTGTTCCACCACCAAAAACTGTAACGCTCGTTCTTTATCTTATTTGGGAACACAGGGCTTAGTTTACATCCTGCTCGTTCGAGCTACATCCCTTATCTAATTCTCTGGGACTTCTCTAAGAGTGTACTGTCCCTTATTTGGGCATTCCGGGATACCATGAGTAAAATTCCCATGTCTCCTCTCATGCCCTGCCCTGACCTCCCCAACATGGCGGCGGGGGGCGCCCGCCCGCCCTCACCGCCTGTCGCGACAGCGCCGCACGGCCGCCGCGCTTTACGGCAGGGCCGCACGGAAGGCGGCGGGTCCGCCATGGACCGGAGGAAGAAGCCGTTGGACGTGGCCGCGTCCTCGGTGAGTGACGGGCCGGGGAGCGGCGAAATGAGCCCCTTCGCCTCCCCACGCGCGGCTGGGAGGGCGGCCGGCTGTGCTCAGCTGCGGGGCGCCCGTGCGCGGGATGGGCCCGGCCGGCGCAGGCCGTGCGACTCGACCCTGGGGTGCCACCGCTTCCAGGGAAAACAGGGCACTGGGAAAGGGAAATGGTGGTGCTGGTGCAGGTGCTGGTGTTCTGTGCCCTCGCCTTAAGCCCACTGAGATGCACGGTCCTTGCAGCAAACGCTGAATTAAAGGGCTGTTCTGGCGTCCGGTTTCACATCCCGGGTCTGAGATGTTCGGCGTTGGGGTTTGGCCCCCTTTCTTTCCTGACCAGGAGCACACACTGCCCTCCAAACCCGAGTGTGCCCGGGCTGGATTTGCCCTCACTCCTGATGTAAATATAAAATTAGGGCACTTATAAATAGTGGGGAAAAGAGTGATTTTACAACACTACACGTCATTATTCTAGGGACCTGAAAAGTAAGTGCTTTAGTTCTTGGGACAAATATTAATGCCAAAGTCTTCTGCTTTCCTCATTTCATGTACATCTGTGAAATTTGTCTTCTGTAGGACTTGCAGGGAAAGTGACACAATATCCTCTTCCAGACTAGTTTTGTAATTCCAAGATAACATCCCTGCTGATGATGTTTCCTAATAAAAGCTGAGATGGACCTTGGTCATAGATGGCAATGCCACTTATATATTTAGAGAAAAAAACCAAAACAAAACAAACAAACAAACAAACAAAAAGAAAAAAGAAAAAAAATAAAATCTAAAACTATATAGACAGTATATAAAGCAGTGGGAAACAATATATATTTTATGAAAGAAAACTTTTATCAATGCTTTCCCAAGACAGGATTTTATTCACTATCTAGCAGTTAAAAGTTCCCTTTTTGTATTCAGTAATGTTATTTCATTAGTCCTTCTCTATTTGTTTGCCCTCAGGAGGCTGGTAAGATCTGTATGGAATTATGTCTCCCTTATTCTCATGTAGAAAAGAACCGAGGATATCCTTGGGGGTTGTTTTAATCCCTAATCATAATTTACATTCTGTACGTTTGCTGTAAACTTGAGTGGTCTCTGTGATGAGATCAGTGCTTTGAAGTTCCACATAAAAATGCAATCAAAGGCTCATATAACTGTAAATGGCAGATTGTTTTACTAGAAATACAGTTATTTATTGCAGTAACTGATGTATATGCTTGTGATATGTCCTGGTTATTTATTTGTTGTTTTGCTGGTGATGTAGCTGGTAGATCTAAAAGCCGAACTCTTCCGAAAGCAAGAGGAATTCAAGAAAGAAAAGCTATTGAAAGATGCTGGTGTCTTTGCAAAGCCCAGAACTTCTAATAAGGTAGAAATATTTTTCCATTGTTGTTTTTGTCATTCTTTCTCCTTAAAGTAAGGAAGTTAATATTCAAATATAAATAAATAAATGCTTAGAGCTGTGTTACTGGTCAAATATAAAATGTACGTGATGAGATTGTTCTTTAAATTTCATTTTCTGGTGGCATTCTTGTACACAGCAGAAAACTTAATATTGTGCTTATGCCCATCTAAATCACCTGTTAATCTTCATTCCCTAAGGATCCACAGCTTTTGTAACTATAGGAAAAGGTGTTTCTTTCATCTAAGATCTTGTATGGTTCCGAAGGATGGAGGATGAGAGGCTGCCAGAGTCACTGTCCTTGCTAAAAGCTCTGCTGTGTGTTTGTGATGTGTAATAACGAACACACAATTATCTCTCGTGTTTTGCTCTTTACTGCACTCTGTGTTTTACTCATTGTGTAGCTTTCTAGAAGCAGAATGTGCTGTTGCTGCCATATTTCAAACACACACAGCTTTTACAGTGTTACATTGCAAACAGGCCAACTGATGGAGGTAATGGAGAATAGAAACAATCTGTAGCTTTGTTACTATGTTCTTAATTAGCGAGATTGTTAGGGGTTTTTTTTTTAACCTTAACATCTTTGCCAGAATAGATTTTGTCTGGTTTTTGAGTGCCTTTGGGTTTTTTTAGCTTCTCAGCCTGTCCTTCCCTCTGACACCATACTGGAGTCTGTGTTAATTTAGGACATACCTGCTGTATTCCACAGCACAGGTATAGTCTCAAGTAAACATGTTTAAGATGTTATTTACAAAGTCTTTTATGATTGATTTGCAGTGTTTGCATTATGGAGTTGAAATGTTTTTGTAATCATTACCATTTCAGTATTTTCATTTATTTTTTGTTACAAAATGGTTCTCTACAGAAACCAAGCATCTGGACCAAACAAAACACAGGAGTTGCAAATCGAGCCTCAAAAGATGTTGAGCAGAAGACAGAAGAGCAGGACATATTGGATCAATCAAGGTAGCTCTTAGGCTCTGTAAGAAAGGAATGCTTTGTAGAATGTGATTTTCAGTGTTTAGAAAAGCACAAAAAGCAAGTTACACACGTTTTGGGCCAGCAGTTCTCATTAGACCAACCAGTAAGACCAGCATCAATTCCATGCTCTTTACCAGTAATGTACAAACTGCATCCCAGCAGTGTCATGTTCTTGCAGGGATACATGCCCTCACATTATCACAGTTGTCTAAATGTCAGGTTAATACTTTTTTTTTTTAAGTCATCTTTAGAATCACAAGCCAGGACAGCAACACTTTAGAATTCTCTAGCAAAGTGTTTCTTGGAATTAACAGAAAATGGCTCACTTTCTTGCAAGGATTGCCTCATTTTCTAAATGGGTTGGTTGTACAAAAAGATATATGTTGAAAATGCCATTTGTAAGCTATTTGCTGTTCTTCTTTAAGTAGTTCCTTGCTCTTCAAAATTGTCTTCTACAATTCCAGAAACTAGCTACAGTGAAGATTAACTCCACATTATCTCTTTTTTCTTTTTTTTTTCTGTAAAACTGTCTTCCACTATCTCATACCTGCAAATAATAATTTAGGTTCCAGTATTTATCTGACAGACCATGGTAGTTAGATAGAGGTGGAATACTTGTTACATCATGTTCTTGCCTACTTGACAGATAACACTTAAGATTAATTCTGTAACTTCAGTAAAAGTATTTTCAGTATAAACTCTGGAACTGGATAACTGTGTATCTTCAGAAATGCCAGTGAAGGTTCAAAACAAAACCCAGGGATAAGTCAGCTTCTAATAAACATCTCAAGCCCTCCCAGTACTTTCCAGTTCCATTTATCTAAGGCTAAATTGATCACTTTGATCTATGTTTGGAATTGGTGGGATTGCAATGTTAATTTTTTGTTTTCTTTTTCAGGAAGAAGCTAGAAGAGAAAGCAAAGCTGTATGAGAAAATGACAAAAGGCGACTTTCCAGGTGAAGGAAAACCAGTCTAAAATTAGTATTTTGCATGTATATATGTGTGTGTGTGTGTGTGTATATACACAGGTTTTTTTGAGAAGTTCACCCTAAAAGTTGGTATTTCTGACTGTGTGGTGTTTGACAGCAACTACACTATGAATTCACAGCTGGTCTTCATGGGAAATTTTTTCAAGTTGTTTATACGAAGTGATTCACATGTGTTATTCTGCTTTGAAAGCGAGAAAAAATAAATTTGCTAGAGAAAATAAAATAATTACTTTTTGAAGGACTGCCTGACATAGTAAAGCACTAGGGGCTTGTTTGACTCATTCATTAGGTGGGTGGACTATATTCTGGTTTTTTCAGTACAGTATCTTAGAAAAACAAAATTAATTTATTCTCCATTGTGCAGTCTTTGGATTGCATTGCTGATGTTCCGTCCTGCATTCTAATTCTTGGACGTTTATGAAGAGAAGAAGAGCAGGAGGGGAGTCTGACTGGTCCATATATGAATGCCAGTCAAGCAGCTAAGAGAGTTAGCGAATGCTAATCTGTCCCTTTCTTCTCTCACACATTCAGTCCCTTGCAAGAAATAGTTATGAAAACAGAATACAAATCTCCTTGCAATTAATCTCTGTTTTCTTTACTAATGTCCATATTTGTCCACATGACCCCACCACTTTTCTCTACTTTTCTAAAAAGTGCCCTTATGACTGCTCAGCTGCTGCCAAATACCAAATGTTAAGCATCAAAAAAGTATTTGAGCTGTTACATGACAAACCCTTTGCTTCTGAAATAGTTAATGAGCAGAGAATGTTTTGCTGCAGAGAATGCAGCCTTTTCTGTTCTGTGCACAATACCCTAAAACTTCGATTGAGAAATAGATGTTATCACCGTGGAGCCAATTGATAGCTCCGGGTTTGTTTGACACTGAATGAGGTTTAAATATTCCCCAGTAGTGTGGCCAAGGGCATTGCTGGCAGCTGAAAAGCTGATTGTAGCTATTTGGTATTGATTTTGTGCTCAGCTCTGTTCTTTTCGTGGCTGTTCTCTGAGAATCGATTTTCTGCCTTAGATGAAGAAGCCGAGGATTTGTACCTGGTGGATTTCACTCAGAAGATCATAGACAAAAGGCACGAAGTGCAGGAGCTGGGTCAGAGCAAAGCTGCTGGAAAGACTTCAGAAAGAGAGTCAGATGATGAGGAAACTCAACTTGAAGCAGACATTCCACCGCCCGAGGACCCGGAGGAAGAATGGTTGGTGCTACTGACTGGGCTTCTCTGTCCTTGGCTACCTCTTGACAATTGCATGTGAAAATAATATTATTCTCCAGAGTTTGTGAAGCGGCGTCCTTTTTTTTAAATTTTTTTTTGTTTAATACTGCACATTGAGAAGAGGTGGTAACATTCTTTAATTTCTCCTTTAAAGACAGTCCTTCTTGTTACTTTCCTTTCCACACAGGTAACCCTGCAATAGAATCTATGTCCAGGATTTTGAGAAATAGCATTCAGGGATATGTACTATAAGGGAGACATCATAATATCCACTCTTATTTTCTTGCATAGTTTATGGGAGTTCTGATCACAGCGTGGGTACAATTTTACACTTTGATGTGCTGAATTGAAATGTATTTTAGAAAAAGTTGGGGGTTTTATTGTATTCATCTTCCCTTCTTTAATTGTGCTTGACTTACAAAATGAGCAGTTATTTCATTGTAAGACCTCCTCTTAAAGGAGAGAAACCCTGATTGGAATAGGAACATGATTTTCCAGCATTTCTTCCACTTTTTAACTGCAGCACAGCAAATAGTCTCTGACAGTTTTCTGTGTCATTCCAAGTAACCACTAATTTTTCATCCAAGACATAGGAATAATTAAGAAACCAGTCTGACTAAACATTTTCCTTGTCCATTTGTTTGAAATGCTTAAGGAACATGAGATTTCACTTCTGGTAATCAGTTTAAACCAGCAGTAACCAATACAAAACAGCACCACCATTCTTCAATTTATTCGGCCAAGATAAGATTTGCAATGTAATGTCTCAGAATAAACTGGGAGAATGAATCCAGCAGAATTCCAGCAGACAGCTGAGGTGGAAAGGCAGAGAGACCCCTCACCAGCATCATACTCAAATTCAAGATGAAACTACCAATGAGTGGTGGGCTCAAACTGCTTTGTGCTGCCAGCACCATAAAGTATCAGAAAATTAAACTGATACATTTCACTGTTCACACGGTGCTTTGCTATCATTGCCTACATCTCTCGTCAGTGACACATTGGCCATCTCAGTGAGGCCATATCCTAATGAGGATATTTGGGTGTTAGCATAATTAATGCTAATTATTCTGCAGCCATAGTTAAATCTTTACTATAGAAAATGCAGATTTCTTTTCTACTTATGTTTCATTGCAATAAAAACTGAAGGCCACTGAGTATATAGTAAACTGTAGATATCCTTAGAAACTGTGTAACAGGCTTAACTTACTAAAAGTACAGATCTTTAAAAGTTTGGGTTTTGGAACCCAAATTATCAGATGTAGTATCAGTTATTTAGAATGGGATAATTGAGGCAGCTCAATGCAGGATAATAAGTACAGCTCTTATCAGCTTTTTTGACGACTGTAAATGAAGTGTTCAATACTATAAAGAGCTGAATAAGAAGCACAATAGCTTCAAAGGAACATTTTACTTGCATTTTAGTCAGCCTTTGTTATGCCAGTTGAACGCACACTATCAGCCTATTCTGAATGAGCCTTAGACTGATATTTGAAATGTACTGTAACAATTTCATATCCACAAGAAATCGATGCTATGTCATTATTTTCACTATGGGAAGCAAGTACTAGACTGAGTTTCATCTTGTTGTTAAAGTTATGTGACATTGTTACTTTTGAACATCTTTTACACCATTTTATTGCCAAGGCGAACAGGGAGCTCAAAGGAAGATGAGTAAATGCCTGATACAACTGTTGTATGCCCTGTTCACAATGTGTCCTCTTAACCTTGGAGCATGTAAAGTGAAAAGTAGAGGCAGCTGTCACACACAGAGAGAGACTATGAGGTGATGAATACCCTTTGGAAAGTGTTGTTACTTCTACCTTCTGCTTAAGATTTCTGTAAATCTGCAAATAGGAGTTTTGCATCAAATCTCTGTTTTTCTTTCATGACAGGGTTGATTATGTTGATTTCTTGGGCCGATCTAGACGCTGTATGAAGAAGGATTTGCCAAGTCTACTTAAAATGGATCAGGAACTTCAAGGGAAAAGGTGTGGTTTCTCTAATGGAGCTGCATATTCTTCTCAGTATTTAACACACATTGTTTTAATGAGAAGGAAGCAAGGCTGTGCTTTGTCACCCTGTTCTCAATCCATAGTTGTTGATGGTACTGCTTTCTCTAGATTTGCATAGTTTGCAGAGAAAGGTTTTAATAAATTGACTTAGCAATCTCAGATATTTCTTGTATCTTTTAAAATGGGGCCCCTGTATAGAAACTGTATTTTATTATACCTTCCATAAAATGCCAGGGAAGTGATTCCTGGTTCTGTTTAACCTGGAAACTGACAATAGTCTTTTACCAAATTCATCATATTTAAAATTAATTTTTTTGACCTCCATTTGTTTGGTTTTGCTCTTCCATTAAACAGCTGACAGGTCTTCTGTTAAAATTATTTCCATATTGGGTATTAATATTTGGCATGGACCTCTAGGGTAAATGGCTTTTTATTATTTCAAATACCTTTCATTTTCTTATGTTACATCTGAAATGTTTCTCTGTGTGATTGTTAGAATCCCCGCAGATACCAGTAACCATGATTATTTCATCTTCTGTTTTGTGATTTGATAATAATTTCATAAAGCTTCTGAAAAAGGATATAATTTTGTTAGTCTTTATTAACATGTTCTGCCAGTACCTTGTTCTAGAGGTATTTCTGTCCTCATGTACCAGAATCATCAATGTTGTATTACTAAGTGGTGCCTACAATGATCTGTGTTTTGTGAAAGCTGCAATACTGGATCAGACCCAATCATACTTTCACTGTTTGATACTGTAAAACTGTTAAGTTCTGCTCTGTAATCCCTAACTTTTTGTTGTTGTTGTTAATTAGACAAGAACCTGATGGGAATACTCTGTTATCTGAAGATATGAGAAGAGAACTTCAGAGGCAGCAGTGGGAAAAGGAAGAAGAAGAAGCCCTCAGAAAACCCATGGGACCCATACATTATGAGGACATTCGAGAAAATGGTACAGTGCCATACTTTGTATCACTTACCTTTGTATCACCAAAGAGATTAGTTGTAGAGGAAGCAAGGGAAAGTTACTTCCTGTGTCTGTATGAAAAAGAATAGGTATGTGTTATAACTGTTATAATTTACCAGTACTTAAATCTAGATCTGTTTTTCTTCAAATTGTATTTTTCTCAAGTGTATTTCTCAGAGACTCCTCCTCTGTTCTCCTTCAGGAAGCTTCACTTTATGTATCATCTAAAACAAGCCCTTTTTAGCCATCTGTGCAATGTATGTTGTTGGGAGTAATTCCATGCCTGAAAGCAGGGTGCCTGGTGCCTGTAGTTACTGTCTATTACAAACTGAGTACACTTAAATTTATTGGGTTTCTCCTTTTCAGAGGCCAGACAGCTTGGTGTTGGTTACTTCGCCTTTTCTCGGGACCAAGAACTCAGGCATAAACAACGGGCAACGCTGGACATGCTGAGGGAGCAGGTATGAGTGTAAAGAGCAAACTGGGACATGAGGGCAGCCTTCTTTCAGTGGTCACTGTCTTAGATTTGTTCTGTGAGTGTTACACCAGGTGATGCCTGACTTCAAAGATACTAGGCTGCTTTTTTCCTGTTAAACCTGGTACTTGATAAGGATTGCTTTTAGTTGCTTTGTGAAGAGAGATTAATTCACATTTTTCTTTGCTGTTAAGACACTTGATCAGAGAACTAAACGTGAACAGCTAAAAGAGAAGAGAAAGGCAGCTCTAGATGCAAGGCTGTCCAAACTTCGAGCACGGAAGGTTAAAAAGTTAAGGGAAGCAGGATTAGAAGAAGAGGCAGAAAAACTGGAGAATGGAGGTATGAACTGCTGCCTTTTTAAGTTTTTGTTATTTCAACTTGTACTTGATCTATGGATAGGCAGACTCTAATTTAGATTTATGTTTGGACATTTAATATATATTGATATTGTGTGTTCTATATATACAATTAGTGTAACTGTTAGGATAGCGAGAGTTCATGTGTGCATAGATATAAAATCATGCTAGAAATAGATTAATAATGTAGGTAGAAATACAGTAAGTAGATTGTAGCTTTTTTTGATTCCCACCTGACAGCAGGAATTATATGGGTTAATTATGCAGGTTGAGGTTAGAGTTGCTGACATTTTACTAGCTTTTTTTATTAAGAGGAGGTGGAATAAAAAGGAGTAACAAGTTATTTTTTATATCACACAATATACACTATAACAATTTCAATGCAGTCTGTAAATTGGGGATACAGCTGACTGTAGGATTAAGGATGATGAATTTGAATTCTAATCCTATCTCTGCACTGTCTCCCTTATGACACTGGTAGTCAAATTTACTGTCTGTCTCCCACTGTAAAACGTAGCTAATATTTCACTGTGTCAAATTCTATGCCAGTGATTAACTGTGTGTTCTGGAAAGGAAGAACAGTAACATGCCACTGCTCACTGTTACAGTTGTTCAGAAGAATAAGAATGTAAATCGTTTTATCCAGTAAATGAAATGTGGATACCATGCTAACATTCTTATTTTTACCTGTGAGGTTCATATAGATTTTATCCTGTGACTGACAAACCCTGCTGTCTCTTCCTGTAACACAGAGCTGAAAGCTGTTACTGAGGAGCCAGAACCTCCGAGAATTACTGCAGCAAGCAGGAAGGTGGAGGTTGTCATCCAGGAGAGAAGAGATACAAAGCCTGGCGTGCCTTATGTCCGAGAGTGGGATAAAGGCAAAGGTAAGAAAATGTAGATTCAGGAACATCATTGGGAAACAACATGCATGCTGCTACTTTCATTTCTGTTTTGTGACAAAGTATGGTAAGACTGAGAAACAATGAAGTCCTTTCTGCCTTGGTATCAATGACTATCCAGTGTCCAGGGCAGTGACCGACAAGTGCCAGTAGCTGCTATAACATCCTCATAATTTTTACTTCTATATGAGTTATTCCATTTCTGGATGATCCAGACAGGTTGACAGAATGACGAATTTCATAGTTCATAAGATTTACTGTCTTTCAGTGTGCTTTCTTCTTGATGTACTTCTGTGGTTTGTGTTACACGATGGCAGGATGTTTTACACAAACAGGTACAGGATGAGGATAAAAAGTGATGACACATTGTGAGGGGAAACTTTGTGGTTCCATTAAAGCTCCAAACTTTCAGATCCTATCTGTTAAATCCTATTCCTGCCGGACACTGGTTTTTTCCTACCTCTGAGGAATCCTAGTATCTGACACTCAAGCAGCACTGTACTATGCAGTAAATATTACACTCAGAAAGCAGAGGGCAGCTTAATCTAAAATGCAAAGTGAAATATGTGTGGTTCAGTAAAGGAATCTGCACTAGATTCTCGTATTTCCATGTAGTACTAGGTGGAAAAGTAACTTCAGATGGCTTTACACAGTTGTATATACTCTGTTTGCTAATTTGTTTCTCCCCTTTCTGACTGACCTTCAGCCCCTGAAATCTGTGCTAAATCTACCATTTTCCTGTTTCTAACAGAACTGATGTTTGGGCTGTGGGAAAAGAAACAGGAAGAACTTAGAGATGAGCGAGATCCAGAATTTGCACCACCTTCTGATTACTATTTGGGACAAAAGAAAGATGATAACTACCGAAGTCGAAATTTGAACAGTCCTGAAACCTCCTCTGAAAAACTGGAAACAGAGAGGGCACAGAACCAACAGATGCCATCGGTGCAGGGCAGTGGCAGCAGCGCTGGTTCCAACAGCAACGTTCAGGATAAGGCAGCACCAGCAGAGGCCTCTGGCCATGACACTCAGGAGGCATCGTCGTCAGGGGAGGATGACAGCAGTGACGATGAGGACAGGCTGCCCCCAGCACAGGGTTATGGCTACGGTGCCCAAGCTGTGCCGCCACCAATGCGGGCTTATGGCTACGGAGCCCGGGCTGTGCCGCCCTCCATGCCAGCATACGGATACGGCGCTCCCGAGGTGCCTTTTCCAGTGCAGGCTTATGGCTATGGCACGCCAGGGATGGTGCCACCAATGCACGGCTACGGCTACGGAGCTCACGAGGTGCCCTTTTCAATGCAGGCTTATGGCTACGGCACCCAGGATGTGCCACCGGGAATGCAGCCCTGTGGCTGCAGCGCCCAGGATGTGCCGCCAGGAATACACACCTGTGGCTGCAGCGCCCAGGATGTGCCGCCAGGAATACACACCTGTGGCTGCAGCACCCAGGATGTGCCACTGGGAATGCAGACCTGCGGCTGTATCACCCAAGATGTACCACCAGGAGTACACACCTGTGGCAGCAGCACCCAAGATGTGCCGCCAGGAACACAGGTCTGTGATTGCAGCACCCAGGATGTGCCACCAGGAACACACACCTGTGGCAGCAGTGCCCAAGATGTGCCACCAGGAACGCAGGCCAGTGGCTGCAGCACCCAGGATGTGGCACCTCCAGTGCAGACCGACAGCAGTGACGCCCCAAAGCAGGAACCACTTTACCAAAGTTTAGATGATATGCTGTCTTATTACAGACAAGTGACTTGAGCTGAGCAAAAAGATAGGCAAAAACCATGATCTAAAGAACTGAAATAGAATTATCTGCTCAGCAAGAATATTATTTTCCCACATGTGGGAAAAACAAGTTTCTGTAAGTAGATCACAATAAATCTCATGAACACCTAAGCTGTTTTACATCACAGTTGCCCTTTTTCCCTGTTGGTACTTTTTTATTCTTCTCTCTTTACTAAAATTATGTGGGGCTTATGGGAGTACTTATTTAGTTTAGTACAGGTTTAATTTTAACTCTCTGCCATTTACACCTGAATTTAAGGGTATATGAATGACTTTCTTTCAAAAGATCAAACTCTTTCTTTGCTCTGTTGCTCCCCAGCTGGCTTCTGGTTTGGGGGTCCTACAAGTTCAGTGATATCTGTAGAAGCAGTATGGAAATGGCAGGCTGCCAAATATAGAAGGATTTTAGGAAATTTGTTACCTACCTAATCTCCTGCCTTTAGGAAGTGCAGAATATTATCTAGTGAACAGTGGGGGTTCACATGGTTGTAATGGCTTCTGCCTTCCTGAGGTCTGTATGTAGCTCATAATTCTGTGCAGCATATTAGAGTGGAGAGAGGCATTGCAGGAATCGATAAATAATGATGGTTAGGCTAAAAATAAACACTTCACTGAAGCAGAAGCCTTGACACCTGAAATTACTGTCTTTACTGCTTTAGAAAATGCTCTCATAATTCTCCAAGTGCAGTTTTCTTGTATCAGCCATTATATTTATGGCTTTATTTTATGTAATACTTTTTTCCCAAAACCTGTGATATTTGAGTCATTACATATAAAAGCAGATCAACCTCTACCAAACAAACTTTATTTCAGGATCTTAGTAAATGAGAATAATACTTACTTGTCATGTAGAAGATTTTTATTTCTGAAGGTAATTTAGATGCCTCCACTTGTCTTTTAAAATCTCATACAAGGATAAGACCTAGAAAAGCAGGCTAGATTGGGCAATTTTGTAGACTGTTAAATGGCAGTGATAATGTCAAAATAGTGAACAACTGAATGCAACAGTGAACTGGCCAAAGAGACAGAGCTGATGTGCTCTTGTTGTGTAATTCAGCTGGATCTCAGGCTGCTCTGCAAAGTCTGGTGAACAATGACATGTTCAAGGTGACTGAGCAAGCTTAGGAACATGCAGAGCACATTCTCTGTCCTCAAACTCTGATTTAGCCTCAGCTCCTACATCGTGGGCTTTTGCACTGGAATTTGCAGAGCAGGAACAGTACATTACAATTATTTAATTAAGTCTCAGAATCTTATTCTTAAGTAAGAGAATATCACTTTCCCTATTTCGAAGAAAACTAGAATGCAAAATGTCTTACAGAAGGTCACGAAGCAAATCTGTGGCAGAGCAGAAGTTCACATCCAGTTCTCCAGGCTGGCTTACTTACACTAGAGAAGCTTCCTTTTTGAGACCTCACATGAATCAGTATCTGGAAGCCATTCAGAGCAGGGTATGATTTCCTTAGAGCTGAACTAACTCTAAAGAGTGGGAAAAGTCCTATAAAACAGAGCTTGACTTGAAATGATTATGGCAATTGTATCCTTCAAAGGATTTCCCTGCAAAGAATATTTGCATCTATTCTGCTGCTATTTTAATTGACACCCATTTCCTACTGCCTTTTGGACTTTGTTTTTTCTGTGCCCTTCAGACCATTGTCATTTTATGTATATATGTGATTTAGGAGTTATATTGTCTTTGCATTAGTTTAACATTGAGCTGGAGCTGCAGTAAGGAATGAAATGCCATTTATTACATAATATTATGCAAAAAGATACAATCAAACTGTTCCTTTGTTCAGCTTCATTTCCACAGCCTAATATAAAACACAGGAGGACTCTTGGCCAGGAGGGCAGTTGAGTGCCTGCATTAAAGTAAAGCCTATTGAGAACAGCTCTCCCACAGCAGAGATCTGTCACTTTGCCATTTGGTCTTCTTCCCTCTTGTCTTGATTTTTGGCTGAAAGGCTTTTGCATATTGTCTCATGCTGTGGAGCACACATCTCTGTTCACTGTCCTCTACTCAGACCACCTCAAGTTAGCTTGGCTGGGATTGGCAATCTCATTCATTTCATTCAGTACCTCCTGGGGCAAACAATTTCTTATTGATACACTGCCAGGGTTTTATTTCTCTCATAATCTGGCCAGATCTAGAGGATGTTGTCTCCCTGTCTCTCTTCCTTCTCCTTTAAACCATTCCTCCCACGTTACCTACTTTGATACCAGCGGAAAATGGGTGTGCACGTGGGCAGTGTCTATAAGGATGTGCCCTCTTCAGTGTATGACTGATGTAAGTGAAGTACAGCTTCTGCTTTCACTCTGAGCACGCAGAACTGTGAGCACAGTGCCTGTGGTTGTGTTTCATGTGTTGGAACTGAGCTCTGCCCCAAAATGCACCAGTGGTGGCTCTCATTGCCTTCAGCCATTGCACAGAGCCAGGGCAGTCCCTGATCCTTATCTAAGGCACCTTTGTCCTACATCTTTGTGGGAACTTTTTTCTGACACAGAAGTTACCTTTATCCAAAACACACAAATCATTCAAGCGTGAATTCCGGCCTTCACCAGCTCTCTGAGTTGGCAGGACTCAATCTGTTCTCCAGAGCAGTACCTTTAGAGTCAACAACTCTCTTGGTGCCGCCAAAGGCTGGTTTTCACCCCTTTGGAGGGCAGCAGGGACCTGATCCGACCGTGAACTGCTGGCACTAGAGCTGAGGCTGCTACAACGGGTGGCACCGCCGGGCAGCGGGGGCACTGTAGGGACACTGTGGGGGCACTGAGGGCACTCTGAGGGCACTGTGGGGGCACTGAGGGCACTGTGGGGACACTGAGGGCACTGTAGGGACACTGTGGGGGCACTGAGGGCACTCCGAGGGCCGCCCCAGAAGCTCCGGCGGCGGGAAGCGGGCGGCGGGAAGCGCTGCGCGTGCGCAGCCGCACCCCTGCGATGGAGGCCCCGCGCCCCCGCAGTTCCCGCGGCCGCCGCGCGGGGGCGGCAGAGCCCGGGCGCGCTGAGGGACCCCCGGGCGCGGCCCCGCCCGGTCCCGCCCCCAGCCCTCTAAAAATGTCTTTTTTAACAAGGAAACCCTCTTAGTTGCACCTCGTGCGCTGACGACCAAGACCTGCGCTCTCTTCCTTATGAGCCCAGAATGCGTACGAGCCCAGATTTCCCATGTAGCTCCCCCCGGTGCAGCCCGAGTGCCTCCCTGTCCACAGAAGCCATTCCTTCCCTGCAGCCATCACCCACCCCTCCTGACAGCAGGAGCAGTCTCCGTCCCACTCTTACTATTCAGTAAGAAAGGCTCTGCATTAATTCTACCCCTCCCGTTAACTCCTTCCTTGGGATCATCATACTCTTCCTTGAGGTTTCCACACCCAGTGTACTGCCACAGCTCTGCATTTTAAAAGTAAAGTTACAGTCTCATAAGGACTGTTCCCCTCCCTTCTCCCCCCACTCAAGGCATTCCATGAGTGTAAAGGAGCTGTGATGACAATATGCAGAAATTCGGGAAAACATGGTGTAGTGACTATTTGTAGGACAAAGGCAAGTGTACGTCCAGGAGGCACTGGGACTATAGGGCACTGCAATGTTGTTAAGTAAGAACACGGAACGGACTGTTGTTTTGGAGACTGACAGACCCTAAGGTGCTGACAAGTTTTCTTTAGAGAAAACTTGCAGCTCTTACAAGAGCACACATCTCAAACAACTGCAGCTAAACCTAAAGCTCCAGATTAAAATTCTGCAGATTTTAACACTCAGACCCTGTCTACCATTGTCAAAAGAGGGCAGAAATTGAAATTTATTCTCGCAAATGACTACCAACCCCAGCAGATGCACTCAGGGTGCACAAGGTCACATTTCATTTCCAGTATAAAACAGTAAAGCCATTTTTAAACAAAACCGAGATGTAAAGAGAAAGTATCACATCTTAACAAAAAGTATTTATTCAGACTAAACAAAATGTACAATGTTCCCAAAATGACAGTGAGTTTTCATGACTCTCTGAAGTCTGCAAATCCATTGAGTAACTCGATCACTTCTTACCCTGCAGTTTAATCAAACTACTTTTTGCCAGACTTCTTTATTCCACCACTGGCTGCCAAAAGAAACAACACAGCTGGTTAGATGACTGTGACACAGTTCAGCTACAAATTCAGTTCCTCATAAAGTCGATTCCCCCCTTGGGCGTCTGTACAGCCCAGATCCCCACTGGTTTTCATCTCACACACTTTACTCTGACTGACTTACTTAGCATTAGAAACTAAGTTTCTCCTGCAAGCAAATATGCCCCATGAATCTACAACAGAACTAAATATTTCAAGAGTTACTTTGTTCCTCCATTGTTAATATTTATTTCTTATACAGCAGGAGCATAGTCTGGTCAAATCAAATTCAAGGCTAAGGAAATAAATGCATCATTATCCCTATAGCAACCAAAGCCAAAAGTTGGGATCAAAGCTCTACAGAAGCAGGTACTGGAATGATGAGAATTCTAGTTCTCTGGAATTATGTTCCTTGCAGTCCTATTATTGAAGACACTACAGCAGGGTGAAAGAACACCACGTACTGACACAGCAACAAGTGTGGCATTTTTTGTAAATGCTGTTTTTCACCCCATGTGTTAGGTACAACCAGTGGGAAGGGAACAGCAAGGCTGCACCAAGACAGGCTGCAAGGCCCGAGGGTCAACAACAGTCTCTGCAGTGCACCATGATTCCAGCAGCATTGCCTTGCTGAGGCTCTTGGGAACAGACTGAGCCTGCTACAGTAACATAGCAATCATTACCTGCTTTGGCAGGCATCAGACAAGGACCACAAGACTGACATTCAGCCTAGAAAAAGGCAGAGTAATAATGGCAGGAAAGAACTATGAAGATCTATGAGTTGAAGCGACTTACGCAGAACGAGTTTAGGATGGTAAGGACAGAACAGAGGCTCAAGGAATTCTTTTGCATCACTCTGTAACACCAAAGACATTCTGAGTCCCACACCCACACATTTTTTGTACAGGGATAAATCAGAGGAGCGAGATCAATCTGAGATAAATAAACAAGAACCATCCCAAGTCAGTGGGATTGGATGGCACTTCCTCCAACAGCACCAACAAGTTCTAACGAGAAAATGCAGAACTGCTGGCTAAGATTTGAAACATCAGTACAGCCACAATGTCAGAGGACTCACTGACTGCCAGCAAAGCTCCCAGATACTGAATAGGTTCTGTAAAGAACTGGGTAACTACAGATGCAGTCTGACCTTGATCTGTTAGAAGATAAGAGAGTCTGGAACAAAGCAAAGGGATAAACAGTGTTGTGAAAGTTAAAAAGGACTTCTGTAAAGAGTAAATCCTTCCTCAGTGACCTGCTGGAACTCTGAGGTTATAATTAGGTGTATGGATAAAGTGAATCGATATCATCATAATTACATTTTCACACAGCATCCAACAAGATTCCATAGCAAAGGCTGTTAGTGAAACTATGGGACTATTGGAAAGGTCTTTCTGGGACCTTTCAAGACTGAAAGTTTGCTGAAGAATAGGAAGCCAAGTGTGGAGTTGAATAGTCTGTGAGTGCAGACTCACATTAACAGTCTCCTGCTGTCACTGAGACAGAGACCAGGTTCAGTGGGCCACCAAGATGCACCCTGTGAACTCTCCTCTGTGACACCACATCCTTTACAGTCTAAAGGCAAAAAGGTTGAAGCCAGACTGATTTCCAGCCATCTTTTTTTTTTTTTCTGCCATGAATCTCCTGCTATAGAAGAAATTCATCCTCTCAGAGGACAAGCACTGGATTTGTTAAACCTGGGACACTGTGGCAAAGCCTACATATAATACACCTGGAAAGAAAAGGCTGGTATGCTAAAACGAGAGTAGGAGCGTCTCTGCACATCCCACCAGAACAGGTCAGCATGCCAAACACAGTGTTTTACCTGCTAAACCAGAACCTGCATCAGGAATTTGGGGGTAAAATTGCACAGCCAAAGAAAAGAAAGAAAAATAAATAGCCTCTATTTGTTACATATAATCTGTACCTGCCATCAACTTGCTGGTCTATGTCAAATAACCCAGAGGTACCTGCCTTTTCATGTTTGTCAAGAAAAAACATTACATTTTTGAAGTCAGCAAGTCCTCCATCTCTCCTGTCAGGATGGCACCTCACTTACCCAGAGGCCCTTTTCCAGCAGCTTTTGCTTTCATCTCCTCAAGTTTCTTTTGCTCCTCCTTCTGCTTTTGTTTGAATGCCAGATCAGCAGCATTTGTTAACATCTCTTCCCCCCACCCAAAATTGAAGAACAACTGACAAGCACTGAGAAACAAATCTAATGCTCAGCAGTGACCAACACCTGACTGGACCGAGGCAGGATGGCTGAATGCTGCTAAATGTGCAAAACTTCGCAGAACTATCACCAAGGTTTTTGCTGTACCACAACACAATGGCTAAACTTGAACTCTGTATGTTTGGTCTTTCTGGAATTATTTCCCCTGGCATAACCTTGTTCTGAGATTATGATCCCTCTGAATGACAAATGTTTGCACTAACACCATTCACTAACGTGCCATCAGCGGCACGTGCAGCCTGGTGCACAACAAAACTTGGGATTACATAGGATGTAAGTAAAAAGGTTGCTTTTACCTAAAAAAGCATTAATTTCAAATAAATCCTCTCACACATATGTCACTTTTTGCTGGGTTCAATATATTTGTATCAGTTCCAAGAAATCTGTTGAGACTTCTGGCAAAATGTACAGGCAAGCCAGTGTTGAGCATCCCTATAGGAATAGCCTCTGGAATTCAGGACAGCTCAGACATACTGTGTCCCTCAAACACACATTCTTAACAGATATCAAGACTGAAAGGGAACACAGTTTTTTTTCTTGGCCTTCAGGACTTTGGGTAACGAAACTGAGGACCTTGACAAATGAGATTCCATGGACTCTTCACCAATCCAGTCCATGTCTCAACTACCTTTGTAACTGCAAAGCTTTCCTCTTCTTTCAGTTAAAGTTTCTCTTACTGCAATGTTACCCTATTACTTCTCCTACCTACTCCTCACAGAACAGAATATTCTGTTTCTATCTCCAGGTTTTCCTGTTTGTTGTTTTATGTGCTATAGGCTAAAGTGTCTTTCCTAATAAATTAATTCCTCACATTTATTCACTTCTGTGGGTTTTTTTCTTGCAATGTGTTGCCCCTAAGTACTTGCAGTACTGCAGGGCTGAGAGGAAAAATAAATATTACATCATGTTTAACACACAAGACTTTTTTTAATATATCTTTATGATTTTCTTCTTTTGCAACACCTGATTTTGCAGCTGTTCAGTATACGATCCTTTCATGTGGACCTGCAGTTTAGACAGTCATTCTGCTCATATTTTATAACTTCATCAATCTTTTCAAAGAAAGGGATTTAGCATATATGCTTAATTAAATAATCCATTTTTTTCAATCTTTCCCCGATTTGTTAAGATTTCTTTGAGCACTAGTCTTGTCTCTGACAGTCTGTGGCTCCTCCAGATTTTCTGTTTCCTACCAAAAGAATAAGCCATATTGTCAGTCAGTCAACCACCCAAGACACCAATCAAAATATTACTCAGACTCTGATCAAATACAAAATCCTTCAAAACCTCACTCAGCACACCCTTGCAGACAATGCTTTGAGAGTGCAGCATTTCAGCAAAATGCACCATCACCTTCTATCACCTTCCAAGGCCCCATTCTTGCCTTGCATTTGAGAACACTACGTGATTTGGCATCAATAACCTCATATCTCCTGGGGTTTATTCTCATGCACTGAGCACTGCCCTGCTACAGGAGAGAACCTCCTTTGTTTGCCAAAGTTTTATTAAAATCTACAATGGCTGTTAATTTTTACGTTACTATAACTTGGATCTTTGTAAGCCCTTAATTGGTTCTACCATTTCTCTAACAATAAAGCTTATTTAGAAAGCTATGATTTTTTCCCCCTTTTTCAAAGAGACACTGTATTTGCCTTTTTCCAGTCAATGGTGCCTCATCCATCATCCACTATCCTCAGAAATAGCAGCTGACACCCATACTCTGAGCCCTTATGTTTGAGTATCTCTAACACACGATCCACTAGCACTTAATTTATTCAAACTACTTTGTTTGTACCCTGTCTCAGGCTCCTGGGACCAGAGTGATTGTCTGATAGACTTCAGATCGCAGCAAGGGCATTCCAGGCTCCTCCATTAGTCAGCACTGATGCATCCACCAGGAACAGGGGGGGGATGCCACCGTAGAATGGTTTGGGTTGGAAGGGACCTTGAAGATCATCCAGTTCCAACCCCTTGCCATAGGGAGGGGCCATAGAGAGGGCCACGTCCAACCTGGCCTTGAACACTTCGAGGGATGGGGCATCCACAACTTCCCTGAGCAACCCGTGCTAGGGCCTCACCACCCCCGCAGTGAAGAATTTTTTCCTAATATCTCATCTAAACCTACTCTCTCTCAATCTGAGGCCATTCCCCCTTGTCCTGTCACTGAGATGCTCTTGTAAACGTCGGGGAACACCCCACGCAGCCGGGCCCGCCGGGGCTGAGCCCCCGGGGCCTCCCGCGCCGCCCTACCTCGTCCAGGTCCTTCGTCTGCTTCTTCGGCTGCTTCAGCGGCTTCTTCTTGCCGCCTGCAAAGACAGAGGACACAGTGAGGGCCGGGCGGGGCCGGGCGGGCGGTACCGGGGGGTCCCGGGCCCGGCCTTACCCTCCCGGCCCGACATGGCTCCGCTCGCTCCGCCCGCCGCTCCCGCCCCTTCCGCCGCCGCCGCTTCCGCCGGGGCCGGGGCAGGTACGGGAGCGGCGGGGCCGGGCCGGGGGGCGGCGGGGAAAGGGCCCCCGGGCGGGGAAGGGGAGGGGACGGAGGGGGTCGGTCATGGGGGAAGATCCGGCTGCGGGTTGGGGGCGCGCGGCGGGAATTCTGCGTTCGCCTTTTTTTGGCCGGGATGAGACGGGACCCGTAAAAACGGGTCTGGCTCGGCACCGGCTCTCGGTGTGTGCGGCAGCTTTTGGAGGCGTGTTTGTGAAGGGCTGCAGGCGGAAAAAGCGTTTCTTACAAGGGAAGCAAGAGGGGAGCCAGGCAGGTTATCTCAGGTTAACCTCTCGTAACTTTCTTGTGTCCTGTGAGCTCAGGCTGAGATCACTTTCTTCACTGGGTGTATGTGATTTGTCTGCATAGAAATTCTCCTTAAAATCTCAGCTTTCTCCCTCTTTTTGCTATACTCCAATAGGCTGAACTTTTGCTAAAGCTCTTCGTGTAGTAATGCGATTAAAAGAGGGGAATTTTGCAGTCTGGAACAGGCAAAGTTGAGCTGAGGTTTAGTACATGGCCTGCAACATAAGAGTAGGTGTTGTAAACAGGGACATGTGTGAGTGATGCTGGAAGGAGAGAGAACTCACTTCATTTCCATGCCTTCCGGGTTTGATCTTACGTGTTATGCATATAAAACAACTGCTAAGATTTTCATAGTGCCACTTGGCGTTATTACTATTTGTTAGAAACACTCAGCAGGGAATGAACTTGTGGTGTTCAAAATTAGCTAGCCAGCTAAAAAGCTGATGAAAAACCACTTTCCAGTTGGAACAACCCTTTCTTGTGGAGATGCCTGTATAGCCACCTAAAATTAACATTGTTTTATTGTTTTAAAATAATTGAAAATACTCTGCAACAGCTATCAAGCTTTCTCAGTAATTCCTGGTTTTATATTTTATTAGTCAAACCCTAATATAGTCATACTCAAATTTCATATTAAACCTTATTTGAAAGTTTTCCTGTTTCCAGTTTTTTGAGGAATGTACTCAGTAGAAAATTAAGATCATATTTACAATAGTAGACAATAAACCATAACTAGCAGCCTGCTTTTGCAGCGTAGGCAAGAATTTTAAGCTCATTTTAAAATGCAGCCCAGCTGTGTGTTCATTACATGAGATTTTTCTGATCTTGTGACTCTTCCTTTTGTAGGAGGTGCCTTTTCTAGGCACTGTCATGGGAATACTTCTTGTGTTCAGTTCAGCATTTACGTGTTTTTTATTTGTCTTTTATTTTTTGTCTGCACACCCTTCAACACATCAGGTATCTGGCACAGTGTAAGATAAAGGAAATGATTGAGCCACACCACTTTTATTAACAAGATTTTTTCCCCTCTCTGTCTTTTTTCTTTTTCTGTCTTTTGTAGAGTTGTGAGTACCTGTGAAACCAGGTGTGAAACCACAAGGCAGAATTTCATAGTGCAGTCACTGCTGTGCTGAAGCACTAAATTCTTCTGAAGCTACTCCTGCTGGCCCTGGATCTGCACATGACTGGTGTTCACGCCGTGAGTGAATTAATAATCAAGAAGCATGAAGCATGGTGGGAGTACTTCCTAACAGCAGAAAAGCAGGAATCTGTGGCACAATTGCACTTTATTGAAATAGTGGAAAGTTTTCTAGGTAAGCAGTGGTGTAAAACCAGCAATGGTTTAGCCATTCTTGAATTGGTTGGTTTTGGTACACGTGTAGTTAGTTTTAAGAGCTATAAATCAGCTATACTTCAATAGCTTCTATTTTTCTTCTTCTTACTTGTAGCACATTTACTCAGTGATTAAGTTGAAGACATGGGGCCAATGAAATATAAATCAAGTGTGTCCTCAGTGTCCTGTGGCCTGCAATACCACCATTCATTGATGAAGTGGAGTCCCAAAATGAATTTACATGTAGTGAGGACTTACTGCTCCTCAGAGCCCAAGAGGCCTGAAGCCAAGTCTGCCATAGAAATGGCCATGGGCCTCCTTCATCGGCTCACAGAAACTGGGACTGTGATGGGAAAAAACTCCCTTCAAAAAGTGTCTGCAACATGCAAGAATTGGTGGGACAGATATGAAGAGTTTGTTGGAATTAATGAAGTTCGAGAGGCTCAAGGGAAAGTAACAGAGGTAAACATGAAGATAATGTGGAATTTTAAAACTTATGAGTTTAGCTATGTGTAGCAGAATCACTGGCTGTGAGGCAGGAGAATTCTCCAAGGAGAATCATGTCTTTTTTTTCTGCTTTGACTGACTGTGCAGGTACTGTGAATGTGTTCCAGGCTATGCATGTAGTAAATAGAGTTTATCTCTTGGATTGAAATGGAGTGTGGTTTGTTTTGTTGTTGGGTTTTTTTTTCCTCCCCCCGACCCAGGTCCCCCTCCCCCCCCAAAAAAAAATTGTATGAATAGCAATATAGGTCTGTATGGTAATAAGTTTCTAAAATAAATGCTCTTTCT